GAATCTGATTTGCAACTTTCACTTCCGTCGTGTTCAAGGCGGAAAATCTGCATGAGAAGCTGCAGTACGGCTAACATGCAGTGTTCGTATTGTTCTCGACTTATACAAAGATTTTAGCACTCTTGAAATTGAAAAGTCCAAGATGAACAGGAAATATAACAGCTTCGATGACCAGCAATGTTCAAGAGTCAGATTTTGCTGTCACGTCTTCGAAATAGTTTAGGTTGCTGAAAAGAAACAGCTCAACGTATGCAAGGAGTGCGTGAAAATGTTTCTTTCATCAGTGTGAAGCACCGGGTAGTAAGTTCAGGACTTTGATCAAGAACGCCTTATTTAGGATATCAATTATCGAAAATCTAGCCTCCAAATATCCAACCCTTCGACCCCGTCGGGGGAGGTGGAAACAGGACAAAGTTACGGTGTAACTTTAGGTCACTGAGGAGTTTCGCTAGCCGTGAAGGCCGACCTGGGTCACCCCGAAACCTGGCTGGCTAAAGGGGCTCTGGTGAAACCGTGACTGGCCTAGCAAGCCGACGACGAATAAATCATGCTACTAAAAGAACAAAGGAGAATACACGGACTGATTCAAACGGAAAAAGACTAGGAACATTAAACGGACAGCAATCTAGAACAACGATTAACATAGGTACATGAAATATCAGCAGACCTGGAGACAAATAGTGAATTTTATGGAAAGAAAGGACATAGCAATCATGGGCTTGTCAGATATAAAGAAGAGAGGCAACCACAACAAACTGACTGATAAAGGCTACCTCCTGATCTGGAGCAGAACACCTGACAATGAGAAAGAGGGAAAGAAAAAAAGCTGCGAGCTGGCCTACCATAGAAAACTGCATCTCCCCCTCGACGCTTAACGGCAACAGAGGATGAACAAGTAAAGTAATAACGAAGCTGCGATAACAGCGCCGTCTTCACTGTACGAAACAGCAAGGGGGGGGGGGGTCAGAATCTCTGTCATCCAACACGACACTCCCACCCTCACACTACCCATGTAACAAATAACAAATAACACTGCTTCTGGAAGCTCATACCATGAAGGTCATGGACTGACCAGTATTCGTACCGGACATATCTAAAACAGCACACGTTGGGATGAGCTGAACCGCAAAGTGTGTGCCGTTTTGCGAATCTGCAGCTATTAGGAGATTGCGCTGCAGCGAAAGTGGGAGATACTTTCTTAATAAAACTTTGAAAATGTTATAAAATCAATGTATAAAACATACATGTTAATGGTGGCCATACAATTTACCAAGGGTGAGACATCTTTGTTGAGTTTTAATTTGTGTTTATCTGCAAATGTGTCTAAACGGGGTATCGATGTGTCGAAATCAGTTTAAATGTGTGATCAAAATGGTTCACAATTGAAGGAAAATGTATACAGTTCAAAAATCACTTCTTTTAATCTATCTATATTTGATACCAACATGTTTAGACTATGCGAAGTATTGGCGTTTGTAATGGTGTTCAGTATATTAGATATAACATATACATTATATATATATACGACTTGCGGTACAGTCAAGAGATCCTGAAGAGAAGGGGTGTGTGATCCATTCGAATTTATTGTAACAACTATAGAAGTATCTCACTGCTAAGCATCACTGGAAAAGCTTTCGCTAGGATCATCCTGATGCGACTTCAGAAGCTCACAGAAAGATTCCTACCAGAGAGCCAATGTGGTTTCAGATCAAAATGCTCAAAAAATGGACTTGATCTTTTCTATTTGTCAGCTCCAAGAAAATAACAGGGAGCAACAACTGCGATTAGATACTGCGTCCGTCGATCTTAAAAATACTTTTGATACATTCAGTAGATCAGGACTCTACATAGTGCTTGGAAAAATTGTCTGTCCCCCAATACAGCTCATCATCTCATACACGAAGATATGAAAGCCACCATTCAGTTGTATGGTTCGACATCAAATAGTTTCAACATGAATAGGGGAGTAAAGCAAGGTTGTATCTTAGCACCTACCCTTTTTAGCACTTATTTGGCTGTCTTACTGCTACATGCATTCAAAGAGTCACCAGGGGATGTCTTCCTCCACTGGAGAACTGATGGGTCGCTCTTCGATCTTGCTCGACGCAAGGCCAAGACTAAGATCAACCAAACAACAGTACGCGACCTTCTCTTCGCCGATGATGCTGCTCTTGTTGCTCACAGTGAATCAACCCTACAAACAATGATGGACCGTCTATCAACAGAAATCAAGGTCTTTAGCTTGGTCATCACTTTTAAGAAAACAGTCATTCTTACCCAAGAAGGTGCATGCAGAGCAGAGCCATACATGGCTGAACGACAAGGAACTTGAGACAGTGGACACGTTCTCTTACCTGGGGGCTACCATCAGCTCTACTGCATCCCTTAATTATGAGATCAACATCAGGATAGGGAAAGCAACAACAACTTTTGGAAAGCTGATAAAACGAGTATGGGAAAACAATCAAAAATCCCCATCAAAACAAAGATCAAGATTTCCGAAGCATGTGTCCTCAGCACACTCATTTATGGATTTGAAACATGGACTGTGTACAGAAGACAAGAAAGGCGCCTCGACATTTTCCACCTCAGATGCTACCGCAAGATCTTAGGCATTTCATGGCTTGCCAAGGTTACACGTCATGTAGAAGTGTTGGCACGGGCAAACCTCCAGAGCATGACAACTATCCTGTGTTTAAAAAGATTGAGATGGCTGGGCCATATCAAGAGAATGAACGACAACCAGATTCCGAAGCAACTTCGCTATGGAGAACTTGTCCAGGGAAAGAGACCAAGAGGAAGACCAAAATAGAGGTACAAAGACACCTGCAGAAACAGCTTATCTAATCTTGTTAGCATTTGAGAAGAAATTGCTGAGGACAGGAAAACAGGGAGCAAAAGGATAAAGGAAAGAACTGTAATGCTAGAGAGTAGCATTAGAAACAGCCAGGCTGAAAAGCGCCAACGACGAAAGGAAAACAGCGGAAATACAGAGCTTCGATCTACAACACAGACATGCAAGCACTGCCACAGAATCTGCGCTTCAAACATAGGAAAAATTTGCCATGAAAGAAGCTGCATGAAGACAACCTTGAGACCATCTTAAGCTAAATTGACCGTCTGCATAGACGAAAAGAGCCACACACACATACACACACACACACACACACACACACACACACACACACACACACAAATATATATATATATATATATATATACATGGGGTGGGGGTGGGCTCTTGAGGCCCAGGGGTTAAAGTGTTTGCCTCTCATTCAGAGGTCACGGGCTCGAATCAGGTTAGCGACGGAAACCATTTCCTTTTCTAAAATTGTCTCCTTTCACCTCCTTTCTTGCTCTTTAGCAATTTTCTGTCATCTGCTTGTCTTCACTTTCTGTTCCCACCACTCACCTCATTTGCCTTTCTACTACTACTACTCCTTGGCTCCTTCTTACTGCTGTCTTTCAGCCACACCCCTGATCTTCTGGTACGAAAGATCAACGCCTAGCCTTTTCGAACAAGGGCAAAACACCTCGGAGGTCCCGTGTGCTAGTTGAGCACGTTAAAGGTCCCTTGGTGGTCTAAAATTTTTAAGAGTATACTTCGGCCGCCACCCAAACAGAATTCAATATTTTCTACCGACTGAAATTGTTTAACGTTTCCCTCGTGCCCATAAGGCCTTATGCAGTTGCAAGCGCCGTAAAACACTTTCTTTAGTTTAAAAAAGGAAAACAAATTATTTCTAAATTTGTGAGGCAGCGTGGTGGAATCAGGCTCTCGTCAATTTTGGGCTTGTAGAGTTATTGGTATCATCTTAAAGCTTGTTCCCACGTCTTTATTTGGAGAGAAAAAAAAATATTTTTCTTGAATACAAGTCGAGATATTCGCAAATGAAGGAGGTGAGAGTCACCTGTTTTTAGAGGTAAATTAGTGAGAAAATGGCAGCCGAAGATTAGTTATTTCCTTAGCTTAAGAATCTGTGGTAATTGAAAACCTACATTTTTCGTGTGCCTTAAATGAACGGGTTTTTTTTTCTTTTTGAAAAATCCACACAGAAATCAGTTCTTTAATGGGCATGAAAGGTGTTGAGCCAAAAAAACAGTAATTTGATAAAAATTAACAAACATGGGGAAAAATGCAAGTTTCTTCCCTTTGGTTATTTTGACGAGAGCCTGATTCCATCACGCTGCCTCACACACACACACACACACAGACACACAGACACACAGACACACACACACACACACACATATATATATATATATATATATATATATATATATATATATATATATATATATATATATATATATATAAGCTTATGTTACGTTTTAGGCAACTCTATAAGAAACTCTTTAAATAAATTTTTGACACATCAATGTTGATGATTTTCGTTAACATGACCCACGCTCATTCCTATCAGATTTACGCTATCTGATAAGTATGAAAAGATGCGCATGTATCCGTATTCATTGTAACATGTTATGACTGCACAGTTGGACGTGTGCTGACATCTATGGTCCTAACAGAACTGTATAGAATATAGATTGAAAGTTATAGATTCATGTCTAGGAGCTGAGAGCAAAGATGACTTTGAAGATAATGATGATAATGGGGATGACGTGAAATAATGGTTATATGAATGCATGCTTTAAAAAACATGTTTTGACGCACTGGTAGACAAACGTTTCTTGGTGTTTATGTTAGCCCTATCATCATGTACCTCAGTAAGTCTTGAAAGCTGGGGAGGGGGTAGAGGGATTGGGGGGGGGGGGGGGGGGGTGAGGGGCCACCCGCTATCCCACTCCCTACAGGAAGAACTCATATTGTCAGCAAAAAGTTTCTACTAAGGTGACCTTTTTAGCGTTAGTCTATTCTCTCGGGTCAATTAGTTAAGTAATGGGTAAATAGGTGCAGGCTTACGTAGCTGGATTGTAGAAGAAAAAAGTAGAGCGAAAAGGTTAAAGATTTCTATTTACATAGGAAGAAATGAGTAGGGATGGTGATTATGGTGGTGGTAATGACCGTGGTGAAAGGTCCAGACAAAATACGGGACGGTCGGGAAAGAAAACCTCATGAGTAGCCTACTTAAGTGGTGATAGTGTCAAAATAAAAACAGTAAGATTTCTTATCGACGAAAATCGTGACTACTGAGGCCTCCTAACAAGCTTAAAATGTGCGTTTTGCATTGATGATTTTACTTTTACAAAAGACAACACAAGACAAGGTAACAGGGTAAGTCTTTGTATCTCCTGTCTCTGTTTTTGACGATCTAAGTAAAAGTAGACAGATTGTACCATATAGCTATAATTTTTGGTCTATTTTCATGTCATTTAGCTTTGAGTGTTCTTGCAATCATGTCTTTTTCCACCTTGCAGAGTCAACGTCAGTACAATTAGTTATCTCTCAAAGGAACTTTATTTTCATAGATTAAGCGAGGCTTTCACTAACGTCCGTATTCGCCAGCGCTGCTCACCAAATTAGTTAATAAATTAGAAATCGTCGGAGAGTTTGTTGCATTCTCTTTACCCACACTAAAACTTCATTAATGGGAAGATTTAGGGAGCCCATCAAAACAAAATATAAAAAAAAAAAAAAATCATAGCACCAAACAATTTTTCAAATGCTAAACCCATTCACACTAAAATATCTGCCCTTAACTTGGCAATTTTAGCTTTAATAATTATTCGTTCTTTTGGAAACTGTCGTGTTAGGAAATTCAGTTAGTTTACGCCACACCTTTATTGCTGTAAAGAATTATCATTTTTAGTTAATTGAAATATCGCACCTAATTGACGAAATGATACGGTTTTTGTTTTCATGTAATTTTTAATTTGAAGAATAAACATTCCAGAGAACTGAAATAGTACGATATTTATTTGTCTTTTACAACTTAAGAAAAATACTTCATTACAGAATCTTGAGTGAAAATGTCTCTTTTACTGTTTTTAAATTTTTTAGATAAAGATAATACCGAAAGGTAAAAGTAAACCAGTTATGCTCTTTGTCTCCAGATGATCAAGCTCGCAATTTTTGCCCTCTCTGTTGCCGTGGCTTCGGCCAACACAGACGCCAACTGGCTTATCTTCAAAGCCAAGTATAACAAAGAATACAGGTACTTCGAAAAAGAAATAGACAACAATTATATTTTGTTTATTTTGAATTGCCTGTTTCAGTAAGCACGTATTTAACTTGTTTATATTCGTATATTTGCCTTCGAGTTATGCAAGTTAAATTAACATTAGCTTACTATTTTAGACATTTCTCTATCTTGGCCTCATCTTTATTTCTCTTACTGTATCTCTTCCCTTTCTAAGACTAATTCTCTTTTCCTTCTTCTCTCCCTTTCTCTTACGGTCTCTTATGGTTTCCCTTTCATTCTCTCTCTCTCTCTGTGTTCAATTATCTATCTATCCATATCTCTCGTTCTCTCTTTTTATCTCTCTCCATCTTTCTCCCTCCTGTATTTCTCTCTATCTTTGCCTCTACCCTCCCTCTCTCTTTCTCTCTCTCTTTCTCTCTCCCCC